GGGAATCACAATTGTTCTGACCTTTTCATATTCACTATTGTCTCCAACTCCTTTGATTTGTGAGCTGCCTTCTTCAAGATTTCTTCAGGAATATCTGCCAGTTTGGCAACATTTAGCCCATAACTCCTTGCAGAGACTCCTTTAGTTATTTGATACAGAAAAGTGATAAATTCAGGATTCTCTTCATCTTCAGATCCTAAAATATAAAACCAAAATCAGTAACTCCTCTATTATGTTAATAAAATGTAGTAGACCAAAGACTGAAATGACAAAGACTGTGATCTTATTATCATTTATGCCTCCTGTACATATTATTCCATTGAAGGTATATGATAGAAAAGGGTTTCATTGAGACCACGCATTTTACCTACCCATTGTGAGACTGAAAAAACTCTTTAATATACTTTTACCTCATGTCTTATTAAGCAGACTTGTCTGCGTGTGAGAGAAACTTAGAATCTTTGTATATCAAATTGATTAGTTATGCTGTAATTGGGATATTCCATCTCATGTCTGCTAAGCAATGACAGAATAATGGAAGTGTCAGTAATCTCGCGGTCAAGTCCATAACTACAGCACAACAAAAATTTTGTTGCCTACCAGGAGGCTAGGAGCCATAGTGAAACATAAAGTATAGGGCTTCAGAGACGCAATAGTTAAGGAATAGTAAGTATTGAATGTTGATAACATCTCAATTGTCTGAGAGTATCAGAGATCAACAGTCCAATTAATGAACTCTGTAAGAAAAGGACATGCTGATGCCCAGGAGAGTGATGCTCTCAGCTAGGAACATCAGCATGGCTAAGTAGTGCTCACCTAAACACAACATTACTTTGAACTACTTGTGCTCAAATTTAACACATATTTCAGGGATCTCTGCTTCTAATATTAAACAGAATACAAAAGTTGAAGTCTCCCTCCAGACAAACCCTAAATGTTTAAATTAACTCTCTGAAAATAATTTAAAAAGTGATAAGATTATATATTTAAACACATTATTTAGTGGCAAATACCAAAACACCCTGTTCCAATTAATTTGCAATGTAAGCAGATAATAAAATATTAAGAGTTAATTAGGGAGAAGGTTAATGGCAAATACCATGTCAATTCTTAAATAATTTTAAGAATGATTCAGGCAACAGGCCAATGCTAGGCAAAGTAGGTAAACCAGATAAAAGCAGAACTGTCAAGCACCTGATTAAACCTGATGCATCAACAAAAAAAAATCAAAGCAGTTTGTATGGAGGGAAATCCTACATCACAAATCTGTTGTAAGTTTGGAAGTCGTGTGAGTAAGAGACATCCAGTGGATAAACCCTATGTGAATTTTCAAAAGGCTTTTGACAAGAGTCCTGCATCAAATGCTCTTCTGAAAACTAAGCAGCAATAATCTAAAAGGAAGGCCTTTGCATCTGTAAATAATTCGTTAAAAGGTAGGAAACTGACGGTAACAGTCAGTTCTCACCATGAAGGGTGATCATCACTGCAGTCAGAGCTGCTCAACATACTTGTTATCAAACAAGAAAAAGGGCTAAGCAATAAGCTGACAAATTTTACTGAAAACACTAACTTATTCAGAGCAATGGTGACAAGAAGAAATGCTGTAACTCTTCTGCCTGGTAAGAACAGAACTGAATGGAATCATGATAAGCAATCTACAAAATTAGGCATGGCATAGACAGGAAGAACGGAGATTATTCCTCTGCCTTTTCCAATTCAACAACTGGGACCATCATGTGAAGCTACATGTTGTATCAAAAGAGTTTCAAAACAAAGAAGAGGAGGTTGTTCTTCACACAATGCAGTGCTAAATTTTGGAGCTCCTTGACACAGTAGGATGAAGATGCTAAAAGAACACATTGATAACAGGGAAACTAGACAACCTTGCTGAGAAGAAATCTATTGAAGATACTAAAAACCAAAACACACCTAGCTCTTGAAGCCCCCTAAATAGCAAATGCTTGCAGACAGTGAGATCTTGTAGAGAAAGAGTTGCCACATGTTTGTTCCCTAATCCCTCCTCCCTAATCCTTTGTATTTGGCTACTGTGAGAAGCTGGATACCAGGCTGGGTGAAATCTTTTATCTGACCTAGCTCAGTCATCCTTATCTTAACCATGAAAGAGAAATGGTTGCTCAGTTTTCAAGCCCCCCCAAAATGTGTGTATAGGCTGATATTCTAGTGAATTTGGATGTATCACTTTCATGTTGAGTTTTAAATTACTGTAATAATTTTACAATTTCTGCCTAATCCTATAGTGTCAGAATCTCAGATGGATTTATATGGTACCTTTTTGTTCAGCACTTTCCTCCTCATTCACCAAGAAAGCCATGTGGTAATTACCAACTGTGTCTGGATACACCTTCTCTAGATCACAAACTGAGGGATAGTGAGTGACAAACAGTGTCAGCGACTCCACCTACAACAATGAAATAAGACACATAAGAAGGTTTGGCTTTAAATCGTTTTTAAACACAGCAGCATATCACTGGTATCCTTTATCCATACTCCTTTGCTCTGAGTTTAGACATGCCACATTTCTCCAAGGAAATACACACCGTGTCAAATTCAGTCTAACATAGTACAGGCTGAAAAAGCTTTCATAAGCATGTGTCAGGTTGAACACTTACGTCTCTAATAAAATGTTCAAGTGTAGCATAAGCAATAGCAATTCCATCATGTGTGCTAGTTCCTCTTCCCAATTCATCCAAAATGACTAGTGATCTTGAAGTTGCTTTTCTTATTATCTCAGCAGTATCTGTCAGTTCTTCCATAAAGGTACTCTGGCCTTTGTAAATGTTGTCTGCTGCACCCATTCTGCATTGGGATACAAAACAGATCAATTTATTAAGTTCAAATGCCAGATAACACTGGAAAAAAAAATCATGATAATGAAACCATTTTATTATAAATCTCTTGGTGCTGTTCCAAGCAGAGCAGTAAAACCCAGATGGAACATTCACCCTCCAGAACAAGCTACTGCTTAGGAAAAAAAGCTGCAACAGTACATGGTACAGATGTGAGGGTACTCTAGAAGACTAAAAGGTCCAGAGGGAGATACTGATGTAGCATTAAATAAGGGCCTGCATGCATTCTCCCAGAGAACAGTGTATACTGACCCTATGGGCATCTGGGGGAGGTTAAGCTGTAGGGACAGCAGAGAATTTTTCTGGGCCATCAGTAAACTAGTTCCAAGGTAAATCCATAGACAGGAATCTCAGCATCCCGTGTCAGCTACAGGAATCAGGGGAAAGAGGAGGTAGACAAGGGGATATTTCTTAGCATGCAGTTCTTCCACCTTGACAAACAGTACATGGCAGCCTGGACTTCCCTTAAAAAGGACCCTGGGAATTCAGACCAGTCAGCTCACTAGAAGGATTCCAGCAAAGGCAGCTGTGAAAATGGATTTTACTTCTTTGGTTTAGTTCAACCATCTAATTCATGTTTTTAAAATGCCTACACCACCTGAAAGTATCAGATATTAGAATTTCCATGCAGAGATAGAGTGGACACTTATGTAACTAGGTATTTGAGCATCCAAAGAGATACAGGAGTTAGTTCCTTCAGGCAGTAACAAAATAACAATGATTTCCCCTAATTACATAGGTACACAATCTTACTAGCATCCTTAAACATGACTTTAAGAAAAAGATTTATCTCCTCATCCTTTTACACAACCATCCTTGAACTTAACAGTCTCCAAGCACATGCATGCACACACACACACACACAAATTCCTTCATGTTGCATACTGGTCTTTTAGCATTGTTTCAGATTCCTCAAATTCTATCTCAAATTGTGAAATTGCAGTTTTCATTTCAGAAACCTGTTGGTAATCCACCCTGGTTTTCCCTTTCTTCTGCAGCTTTCCTTCCCTATTCAATTAATATGCTTTCTACTTGGAAGAAAGAACATTTCCTTTTTCCATATATGCTTTTCAATTACATTAATCACATAACCTATCTCAGAAGTGATATTGTAATCATTAGCAAGCCACTGAATAGGGCTGTAAAAATGGATTTGTTCATTCTCATCAGCCAACAATATAGTTACATACAAACCACATTGATTTAAGGAAAACTGTCTCATGGGCTTAGCATATTACACTTGCAAATATAACAGCTGGCCACAACAGTATTTAAAGCCAATCAAAACCTTTAAAAAGAATCCCAATATAGCTTTTTTTCTCTCAATTGTTTGCTGCGTCTTTCTCTAATGTAATTGCTTCTGTTGCCTACAGAAGCAGTAACAAGATACACATAATTTTATGAGGATCTCATGATTGTCAAGAGTAATTGACTACCAATACCAAAACCTAGCAGGTTTTGGACACAATACAATTATGATTTCTATATGTTCTCTGGTTCCTGCCCTGGAAATTTTCTATGGTAGAATGTGTAACTCCACAATATGCAAATCTTCAATTATAAATGAACTAATTTTGGTTAGAGATGGACATTATGATACAATAAGCAAACTGAGTGTTTTTATTTCATTGAGTATGTGCTTACATACACACGCAGTAGGTATACTGCCATATACTATTTTTATCTATTTTTATCACTATGAAGTACAAATAAGTTCACCAGAACGACAAATACTTTTCATGTCCAAACAATCTCAGGCTCCATAATTGCCAACTTGAACCTTAGTTTCTGACCCTAGGATTATTAGCAGTGTTATTTTATTATTTTTATTTGGCTTTTCATTACAGAGACAGCATCTAAGAGGCTGTTTGTTCTGAACCTATGATAATTACACTGAGAGTTCTCAGTTCTATCTTTCTCTTGGATTGTATCATTTCCATAGAGCCTTGAAAATAATTTAATCATTTTGTATCTTATTTGCATTCACAAAAATAATTTTCAGAACTTCCTCACTAAATGCTCAAGATACAAACAGAAATGAGTATCATCCTTCTCTTGTCTTTAACAACACCTGCAAAAGAAACCTTTCTTTTCAGCATCTTAAAACATTCAAATCCATCTCAGCCTTATCTACAGATTTTTTTTAAAAAAACCAAATGTGTTTTTTTCAATGACAAAAACTCTTAAATGTCATCCTTTGAAAATGGATAAAATTGTTCTTTCTGCCTCTGCCCTTGACACTAGAAGAATTACACTTGTTTTTTAAACTTACATGATAAGCGGTATTATCCCAGAAATACGTAAGAAGAATTATTTTAATGTAGATGAATGCATTTATAAAACTAACAGTTAATATGCAGCAAGGCATAGCTCCCTAACTGTATATTACTCCTGATCTAAAAAGTTTTTGAGTCAAAACACTTATTGCTTAAACAACTCTTTGTCTTCAAGTTTAAAACAGCCATCATAAATCCCACTAAACTTCTACAAGATTCAGTTGCTTTGAATTTACATTTTAATGTAGCTTGCCTCTTAAATGTTTTTATACATCAAAACATTAAACTTTTTCCTATAATATTCAATAGAATCCAGATGATTTACCACTGTTAGAAGCTACTCTAGAGATAATACCTGGGGTGCCATCCCTATGAATTTTTAGGGCAAAAATGCTAAAAGATTTACAGATACTCAGCATTACATTACAGATTACATTACGTTACATTACAGATACTCAGCCTTAATGCTGCCAGCACTTAAACCACCTTTGTTTACTCTTTTTTGTTTTACATATGGTCCTAATAAAGTCTCCAAGACTCACTTTTTCTGGAAAGTTGCCTACAATGGGGTCAGATATTTTTCTAACTTTAATACATACACAAAAATAACTATTTGATTACATTTTAATGCTGCATTCATCACTACTGTAGATGACAATATAGTGAAATATGAGAAAAGGTATGAGTCATCCCTGAGTGATGCAGACATGTTATGTACTACCCAAATTTTCTTTTTTTCCCCCCTCTCTTAATTTAAAAAAAAAAAAAAAAAGTGGCCAAGAAAAAAAGGTGACAACAGAGCAAGACAATCGGAAAAGCAAACCAAAAGCAGGAATAATGCCACCCAACTCCACACCTCTATTCCTCTATGTGTCAGAACACCAGCTGCTGGAAGTAGTGACACAGTTAATATGAAAACTTCCATTTCTGCTATGGAATTTCTAATGTCTACGTTCAGAAAGATTACTGCATTCTGCCAACGAGGAGTGTGCAGACATCCAATGTGAAAAGTGCCTCTTTAGTGCTGGCAAGAGATCCATCACTCCTCAGCAAATGTAATTTGGCTAGAAACCACTTGTTATAATGTCTCTTTGACAGCCAACCAAATTTCATAAAATTAAAAGCTCTTCATCTTATAATGTTCAACACATTTATTATGTAAAGAAAAAAAAAAAGAGGAGGCATTATGTCTTTTCATTGCTAGGTTTCAAGTGGTAAAATTCTTGTCTATAAACTCAGAAAAAACAGGGAGGCGTTTTCATAAATTAATTTTGGAGGGTAAGTTAGATGATAGGCAGCAGTAGCTAGCTGTATATAAACAAGCTAGTACTACATGCTTAACCTGTATGTGACCCCTTAGAGAAAATGATACAGATTTCCTTATCCTGCACCATTCAAATGGCTGGTTTTTTAACTGGCTCTCCTGAGTCAATACATGCACACAGTACTAACCTTTTCCAATGCAAGTGCTCATCATCCTGGGAAGTTATCCTATGATATTTTGTCCTATGAGGCTCTATAAATGTTGGAAATTTTTTTAATGATACAAGCTGTCATACCACTCAGAAATCACTAGAATTACATAGCACAACTTTTTTCCTTGCATCTCAAGAATTTTTATGTAGTCAGTATCCATTTAAACTTGCTCTCAACATGCATGAACTAATATTGCTAAACTGTATGGCCCTGAAAGTCACCTCCAAGTCTGGTGCTTTCAAGCTTTTGATCAGCTAGACACATCTGAAGGCTTTGACAGCCACCCATAAAAAATTTGTATGGAAGGAGGAAATTTAAATAGAGGCCACTGAGGCTTTCTTGGAGGTCCTTCACTCAGCATCCTGCTTTCAAAGAACCAAAGTGCCCTGGAGAAGGGGATGGACTTTCAGACTTGATGACTAACAGTGACATAAAACAACAGATTAACACAAGACATTGTTTTGGAACAGAGCAGAGGCCCCCAGAGAACTCCAGCTGCCCTATGCTGGCAGTCCAGGAGTGAAACCGATGACATGTAGGTTAAAACAGAAATTGCCCTGGTAGGACAGAAGGCAGTGGAAAAAAAAAAATAAATTCCCAAGCAGAAAAATGAATCTGAAATCCAGAAGCTTGTAGTTAAGTTGTTTTTCCATGCTATCTTTCAAAAGAAGTTATCCAAAATGCTGTTAGCTGGTTTTGTTAAAAAATTAAGAGCACAGTGTGGACCTCAGGTGTTTTATTATTCTTTTATGTTAGCGTGAATCCCTCACGCTGCTTGTGAAAATGACCAAGCAGCCCAAGTGCTCCCAGCAGTAACAAAAAGCAACTATATAGCACCAAACAAATCCTAGAAAACAAGACTGCAAACCCATTCCTAAAGTCTTATTTTCACACGGCTTACAACATCCCAATGCTATTTATTAATTCCTAGTTTATAAAACACTTAATGCTGAAAAAAAACTTAAATGAAATTTAAGATTTTTTCACCTTGATTTTAGAAACATCTATTTGACTTTAATAGTTCATCTAAAATACTTACTGGAGAAATGAAACCTAGTGCCTGTCACAGAAGAATAAACCTGATTAGTATAGAGTCTCTACACACTGCTTTTGCAGTTTTCAAGAGAAGGTATTCAGTTTTCCAGCTATGGTTTGTCTTCCCTGGGATCAGAACTGAAGCCAGACTTCATCTCAGAAT